AACTCAGTAGCTAGTGGCTTTTAAAACTGAAGGTACTGAGCTGGAGTTCTGGAGTGAACATTAGCTCTGGGATGCAGGTACATTCAACAAACGAGTCCCATACAAGACGAAAAGCGTGTTCTGGATTCCATTTTCACCAATATTCCATCTGTCCTATGTAAATTCGTGACTATATTCTAAGCTTTTATAGATTAGACTGTCAAAATCAAAGGCTTGAGATGACTTAAAAGGTGGACTCCCTTTTTTTAATGTTCGATTGCAGTAACACAATCTTTGTATAATTAATGCAGTTATTAAAAGAAGGAATATCTGATGTGCTTGTTAGTGCCCTCATCGTGAAATAATTTTGTTTCGAAGCAGTAATATGAAAGAAATGTCAAAATTTACGAACTAATTGAATTAGTAACCTGAGCGACTGAATTGTTAACCTTCGCTTATGATTCACTGACTATAAATGTGATTAAATGGTTCACTTGTTTCCGAAACTTAGTTAATTGTCTAAACTTTCAAGTTTATTTGTTAATAATGTAATTATTTTTAAAGCCAAGGCTGTTTACTCCGTGTCGGAGCTTGGTTGTTTATTAGTCACAGTGAATGATTTCAAGGTATCGACATATGTCAAAGAGATGTTTAGTGATTGGGCCATTCGAAACAGTACTTTTTCTTATTCGAAGGTTTTTTAGGATCAAAGAAACTAAAATATGCTTCTTTTTGTTCGGCCAATGGAGTTAGCTTGGCAGGTACATGTACATTTATAGATACACTTGCGGTAACATGAAAACGCACTTGTTGACATTTGATTGGGTTATATACGGATTTTATACGGAATCAATAGTTTGTTTGCAGATTAGGTTCTGGCTAATGCATTGTTAATCTTTCCGCCTCTTGACATCATCACATTTGAAGCTGAAACTCATAAATCTTGGTTTTTCATTGACCGTAGGTTCATACATCGTTTCATCTTCAGCTTTCCTACATTTATCAGTGAATTTACGGGGGTAGCAGTTGTTTCTTAGACATTTTTCATCAATTCTTCTTCCACTTTTTCAGTGGTACATATCCTTTCTACTCTATAAAATAATGTTTTGGCCAATGCTCTCTTGAAACTGCCTGAACAAAAAGCTGTTGAAGTTCAAGAAAAGACCATTCCAAGTACTTTTTTAATAGATTGACCATTGAACTATCTCTTCTGTTTTCTGTTGTATGGCAGCGTTAAGTGAAATATGTCATTCTTTTCGTGTTCCACAGTAAATTGTGTGTTGGGATTAGTCTTATTGAAGAGTTCTAGCAGGTAGATTGTGTAATATTTACTGTTCCAAACATTAAACGTATCATCAACATATATGGATTATTTCGTGATTTTATCAGTCGCTTGTTCAACCTCCATGTACTCAATATTACCCACAAAAATATATGCCGTAACTGAACCTAGTAGGCTTGCGATTGCCATCCCACCAATTCGACAGCATATGGTGTAACTGAACTGAAATCGAACGTCTTTTTTGGACATAAGTAGCAGTTGTTTAAATTTTGGCAGATAAATAAGCGAGATTAGAACACTAACGGAAAATGTCAGTGATTTAAAGAGGTGATATTTCGGTGAACGAAGTTGTTAAATTTAAAGAAACCATAGAGTTATTAAAAACATTCATATGTTTTAATCTGTCAGCAAATTGGAGTGAATCTCGAATGTATATGCTGCTAATCGCCGAAAGACTGGTTCTAGCCTGCCTCTCAAATGGCGTGCAACTTTTTGGGCAAGGTGAGTCGATCATTGACAGGATAGGCCTAAGAGTAAAATCATGTTTGCGCACCATTGGTACACCATACATATTAGTCAGATGTCCAACAAAACGCCTTAGATCACTGATGATTTAGCGATTTTTTTTTTCCTTAGATTTTTTCTAAGAATACTAGTGATTTCTTTCTCTGTTGAGTCCGTTAAATCCTTGTTGCAGTTGTCTACAATGAGTCTCAGTTAGTCATCTAAGATTGACTCTATCTTGGTGATGTAATCAGCTGTGTTTACTAGAACAATAACTGAACGTTTATTTGGACATAAAATCATCACTTCGTAGTTTGCTTAGTGTTTCATAGTGCTGTTGGATAGCTTTTTGATGGAATATTCGGCTTTGATGTGAGTGAAATGAAATATTGACTGGCAAAATCAATTAGCTTTGATTTGAATCAGATCTTCTTTCCCTCATTCACTAGATGCATATCTTTTACCGGGTCAAATGAATTTTGTATTAAGCCTCCGTATTAATCCTGTCAGTACTTGTTTTTAGTATGTAAAATTTAAGTCCCAACGAAAGGGTATTAGGTTTTATATTACTAAACTTGGTATTCCATAAGTTATAAATAAACTTCGGACGGTTTTCCGAAAAACTTTCATATGGTCGTTTTTTTATTGGAGATTGCTATTCTACCCAAATCCTTGTTCTTGCTCTCTAAAAGACGATAAATGGGACTATGTAATGGAAATGTCAGTTCAATAAAAAAAATTTTGCTCTAGGCCAAGAAAAAATTACTTCAGATTTTGAATTACATCGCTATTTAAATAGTTTTGAACTGCAGGAACTTGTTATAATGTGAAGTGTCCGAGAGTTAATGCTGATATGCAATTTTCCCATACACAAGGATAACAGGCAATTGGAATAAAAAGACTGAGAGTAAATAAGGAAGTTTAGGGGCTAAGCCGAATTAAAACATTTGTGCAACCATCCACATACCTATATGTCCTTTAGAAAACCAAGCCAACAATGGTGTGTCTTATCTTCTAGAGATGGACGTCATTTCTTGACCGATCATGTCCCTTATCATTTGGCTGATTTCTGATTGACCCAATGTTTTACTCGTTATTTTGGGATGCCAACAGTTACTCGAAATTGATTATGTTAGTTTTGGGAATATAACTCACTGATTTGAAAGTTCCGAGTGAAAAGTTTAGAATTCATATGTTATATGAACATAAACCACTATGAAGACCAAGATTATAATAATCACATGAAAATTGAAACTTATACCTTTTGGACTGAATTTCACAAACATGTTTCAAAGTATTTTGCTCCGTTCTACATGAACTGAAAAATCTTTGACATACAACAAAATAGAATAATGAAGGAACGAATGGCTCTACACGATTATATATATATATATATATATATATATATATATATATATATAATATGCTTTACAACAATGCAATAATAATTAGAAATGGGTTTTGTGTATATTATAATAATTTAATAGTTGAATTCGAGTCGATTAAAGCTATTCCACCACCGAAAACCTGAAAACATTGAACGGGCGTCTCATCGTAGCATGGGACTCTTCAGAGATCATGCTCATGGGATTCGAAACCATGACCTATCAGTCTCGTGAAGGGAACGCTTAACATCTGAACCACTGAGCAGGACGGCATCCAAGGATGGTAATGTCTAACTTCAACCAGTCCACGAAATTAAGTCACAGTCCACCATTGTCTTTAGTAATTTACTACCTCACAAAAGACTCGATTGAACTCCAGTGAAATTCACTTTTGAGGAGTTCCATACTCATGTAGTGTCGGTTACTATGTTAAGCCCATATAACTTATTCTAGCTTCCGGTGAGGCCAATTTATTCATTCTTCTTGAGTCACGTTTCGACCTTGTTAATTACTCACTCATCAACCTTGATTTTTATATGAGCGCATTTGTGTGTACACCTTATCTTACTCAACACATACCTGTAGCTTATTTTTGTATGACTTTAAATATTGATTAACGTTTGATTAGATGAATTTGGCTCACATGCCTTCTCCACTACGCGTCATTTCGTCCTTATGAATGCCTGTCCAGATCAATGATTGTACAAAATATGCGTGTTCAAAAATCCATTTTCGTGTTTGACTTATTTAATCCCGTTATTCACCAACCCGAATTAAATTGATAATTATATACAACGATTGGCGACATATATATTTCGACATGTATATCACATCAACGATCAATCATACGGTCAAATTAGAGTCAGATCCCGGGCCATTAAACTAGGACGAAACAAGCTTCCAGTGCTTCCATGTTTTCAATGGTGGTCTATCTTCAATTCACCTATGAATTCAACTATTAAATTACTATAATATCCACAAAACTCCTTTCTGATTATTATTTCATTATTGTAAATCATATATATATTAGTGTAGAGCCATGATGAAAAACCAATTAAAGTGAAATTTCTTCGCTCAATTTATTCCTTCATTATTTACCAAATGTCTAAATAGGAATTTTCAAAATAGAATAAAGCGGTTATTTGATTATTTCTATTATTGGTGACAATTTCTATTATACAACATTTGACAACTGGTTAATTTTTTCATGAAACATGTAACTTGATGTTTTATGGTAAATGTCTATTGTTATTATTATTTCACTATATATAATCGGAGAGGGGTTTCGTGGATATTACAGTAATATAATATCAGTATAGGGTTGTGGAGATTATTAAATTTTTGACTGAGATCATGAGCCAATTGATGTTAGACCACCATTGAAAACCTGGAAGCACTGGACGGCCGTTTTGTCCCTGTATGAGATTCCTCAACAGTGCACATCCGCGATTCCGCCTCGCGATATTAAAATTGACTGAAGTTAAACATTAACATCGTTGGATACCGGCCATCTCAGTGGTTTAGAGGTTAGGCACTCGCGTGCAAGACTGATAGGTTCAAATCTCTCTAGGCGGAATCGTGGATTTCACTAATTGTTAAACCAATATTTGAATGGAAAAACTACTATTATTAGAATTATTACAGTTAAATTGTTTTATTTGAATAAAGAACACTCTCCTATATATCAATTGATATCATGTAATAAACAGACCAATAAGAATAGAAGATTATTGTATAATTATTGATTAATGATTTAAATGACAAATCAGAATTCAATGTTTAATGTCTTAATTTTCATTGGTTTAAATAAACATAACATGATTACATAATTACTTTGTCAGATACATATTTATATATTCATTTCTAATCACTAAATTGTTCAAACAAATTTACAGTATTCTGTTGTACGTCTTTATATAGGTAAATGAATATTTGTATTAAAGTATAAAATTATAATCGTCTATAATTTTTTTCTTATTTATGGGTAATTTACATGAAATATTCAAATTTATTGATTATAATCTTTAATTGAAGTAGAAAGTTACCAGTTTCAGTGGTAATTTAGATAGGTACTATAGGTTCACCAAAGGAATACTTTCTATTTTTACTTAGAATAACTTAGAACCAGTTGATAATCATTGAGAATATTCAAAGATGTTCTGGTGACGAAACACTGTAGATATGTTTTTATTGTAAATTAAATTTCTTTCGTGTTTGAATGAATCATCTATCAAGCTAGATTTGAGAAATACAGATTATCCTCGTGGTTATTAAATCATCATTAAAACTTACTATTGAACTGATTTCTTAATATAGATTATATTATAACTTTACAATATGACCTCCATGATTACGATTAGTTGTTTTAAACTTATATTTTCACCACAGATTCTATTCTTGATATCTTTATCTAATCTTAAACAGAAGTCTACTACAGTTGAATTGAAAGAAATATGGCTGGAAATTTAGGATTTAATGTTGGATCATGTGGTTCACATGTAAGTTTATTTATATCTTAATTGATTCCATTTTTATTAGAACCATATTTTATCATATTTTTTGCTAATTAATTTATTGACTTAATCATTTTTTAAAATCGTGTTTTACAATTTCCCTGAAATTTGACTTTTGATTCATAAATATAATGATGTATAACTCATTTGTTGGTAGGTGATCTTCACGTCAGATTGATTTCATTTGAGATATCATTGAAAACCAAAGAATACTGAACATTTGTTTTACACTGTTCCAGGATTTTTCAGTAGTGCTCAACTGCCATTTCACTAAGGATCGATTCTAGTATGTTAAGATCTTTCAGTGAACGCCTAATGGTTAGGATCACGGGTTCAAGTTCCAAAAATACAACTTTTACTGCTAGCAATTTGCAACAGAGTGTGATTATCATTTAGCTTCACTGGTGATAACTGTTTCACCTTTTACATGTTTGAACATCTACCAATCATGACTTATAACTGGAACTACAAGAATATCTCGAATTAAATCACTATTGAACTGACCAATACATGTTTAATTACAACTCATTCATCAAGCGTAAGATTATACAGCCAGCTTTGTACGACACAATCTGTCTGAAGGTTAGGGATAAGACCCTACTTATAAAAATGAACTACATGGGATGGAATTAAAAAATCGATCCCAGCAGTGAAAATACAAATACATTGATCATTCTGTCATTGTTATACCTTTTATTTACCATCTTTATTAGCTCTTAAGAACATCATAGATTTATAGAAGAATCTTTTGAGATATGGCTTTTTGTAGATATCTAAGGGTTTATCTGACTGATCTTGTTATTCAGTGAATGATTACTAATAATGTTTTATGTTGATGAAAACATTTGGCGGTATTAAAAATACATGATTATTAGCTGATGTTTAGGGTTGTTTGTGCCATGTTAACTTTTACTATACCTGTCAATTAACCTTAAGCTATAATCTTAACGATGTTGATTTAAATTACAAAATGTTCCAAACAACACGAAATTTATCAAAATGTTCATTTAAGTAGATGAACACATGACAGACGTTTGAAGAGAGCGGTACTGGGTTGGATTCCAAGAGTGAACATCAACTTTCAGATGCAGATACATCCTGCTGATGAGTCTTAAATAGGACGAAACCCGCGTTCTGAATTTCACTGCTAGCTACAATCCATCTTCGCTTATAGACAACTAGTCAGTTGTTACAATCAAGGATTCATCTATTCTACAATTATCGTAACCAATCCTAGTTATGTAATTTTCTCTTTTACAGTGTTATTTGGTTCAAACAACAAACGTTCCAGTAGTTGCAACTATCTAAGTAGTCTCTAATACAACTATGCTGATGCTTATTTAATAAGCGCTAACAAATATGTCTACAATCTTGAACAGTTTTATGCTATATCTCATATTTTAATCTATACCATATATATATATATATATATATATATATATATATATATATATATTTATCGCTCTACTGATTCAATTGAAATGTGGACACGTCTAAGTGACTTGACATCTTTTGCACTGTATCGATGTTAGATAGTAGTTAGTCAGTCACAACACGAATAGCTCAGGGTTAACGTTTTTAACTATGAAACGAGGTGATCATGGTTTGAATCTGTTATATATTGAGGGCCGCCGAGTAGAGGGGAGTGAGTTATCGATCGGATCAAGGACGCGTAAAACACGTGCGAGCGGCCTAGAATTCTGATTGGCGTTGCTTTCCGCCTAGCCCAGTCAGTTAAGTCCAGAACGCCAATCTCAACATCTGTAATACGAATCATTATATTTCAAACATACTGAGTTTATATATCAATCAAAGAGACCACAACGTACCATAAAATAGAAAATAACATTTGTACGAAATTTGGCCAAATGTGGCTGTGAATGTGGGAGGCAGTGACTAATAACAGGGCATAATTCAAGAATGGTAAAACGTATAATAATGGTTCATAGGTCAAAATAAAGCTTATGATAAGAGGAATATGAATATGAATAGTTTAGTTATTTAACAATTATACGATAAAAATATACGTTTAGTATTGGTCCACAAATGGATCCCAAAATTACCATAGCAGAATCCACCAGGAAGCATCAGTTATGCGATTAATTCTGGTGTACTTTGTTATAGAATTCCAAATTGCTCGAACCTATGTTCAAGGTTTCCTGTCGACGACTTCCAACCGTTGAACAAATTGCTCGAACCTATGTTCAAGGTTTCCTGTCGACGACTTCCAACCGTTGAACATTATATATACATACTACTTCTATGATAAAGCAGTACATTCATGTGTTTTGTACACTGTAATTGATCATAAATCAGTCATATAGAGAAGCGAAATAAAAATCGTAACACATATAATCAATTAAGTAACTCTGGTTTGATTGTAGATTTTGTTTCATAGTTCCATACTATACTATGTTTCTATATAAGCATCAATACTGAGGTGCAGATACATCCAAATGACAAGTCCTAGACAGTACGAAAAACTGCTGGTCACTATTCAGTTCTGCTTGAAATAAATAATTCTTAAAAGGTCCCATGATGTATTGTAATTTTGCTTCATATGTGTAGATCAGTTGAAAATTGTTTTCGTTACAAATCAGTATATTGGGGAAACATTGAGAAATGTGTTGTACTAAACATCTGTTACTTTTATATTTTGGACTTCGTAACAGTACTCACTCTTGATCTAACAAAGGATTGAATGTAGTAGCTTCAAGCCCTATGGCTAGTATAGGATATTTCATACCACTAAGTTGAAATCTAGTAATCTAGATTTTTCTATTGTTTCTTACTCTTCTGTTTACTTAATTACTTTTAGTTACATCCAACTGTAATGCCTGCATCAAATTTCAATGCAGAAAGTGATTGTGAACGATTAAGAAATGCTATGGCAGGATTAGGGACAAAAGAAAAAGAATTAATTGATGTATTGGGTCATCGTTCTGCAGATCAACGTGCACTTATTGTAAAAAAATATAAATCAATGTTTGGAAAAGATTTAATTGAACATTTAAAATCTGAACTTAGCGGACACTTTTACGATACTATGGAAGCATTGTGCTTAAGTTCATCAGAATTCGATGCCCGTGAATTATACAGAGCTATGAAAGGAGCTGGTACCAATGAATCTGTATTGATTGAGATTCTATGTACTCGAACAAATTATCAATTGAAGAAGATAAAAGAAGCTTATAAACGTAAGTAAAGTATAAAATCTTGATAATATCTCACTGAAAAATTCCCCCGTTTACTGATTTTTAAAGTTGAACTTTGTAATATTTCCCCTTGTCTCAAAGTGCTTGGATAATCGGTCAATATTATCATACGTTTCCTGTTAATTGTCTCTCAATATTGAATATAATATCATATCATACTTAAATATCAAATCCATTAAATCAGTATCCATACCACATACACCTTTTTGTTGAATTCTAATTATTGTCCAGGACTTGTCAACACCACTGAATAAACCCGTTCAAGATTTAAATAGCAATTATGAATGCAACGCATAGTTATATGGCGTTTGATCTTTGGAAAAATATGAGTTTCTTCAACGAAATGAATACTTCTTACTGACAACTAACTTGCAACACATTCATATATACGACTTTCTATAGATTACCACATAAAATAAGATTAAAATTGGCAAATGCAGTGTTAATCAGTATAGAGATTTGCGGAGATTACTTAATTTTGTTGGTATCGTGAACTGTTTCAATTTAGATAACCATTGAAAACCCGGAAAGATTGCTTGATTGTTTCATTTAAGCATACGACTATTCACAATCCCAGTGGAAGCCCGAATATGGACTTCTAGCCTCACTCATGAATACTTAATCATCAAACCACTTAGGCAACGTCCAGTGGTGTACATGTGTGAGGCGGTTACGCACCGAAGACAATGGAAGATAACCACCCTATATAGCCAATTTAATAAAATCAAACATACTGCCCGAACTCGAGTCCAAAGGTCCTGTGTTCGATCTCATTTTTTGCAGTCGTAGACGTTCACTGTAGACTAGTACCATGTCAAGACAAAACAGCTATTCAGTAATTACTGTCTTTCGATCGATGTCTTAATTAGGTTGGTTCTTGATATCAATAAAGCACTATAGTGTTAGTGGAGATTATGAGAAACTTGAAATTATCTAGAGACAACAGAGACAAAAAAGAAATAATCTCGATTACTTTGTGGCCTTCAGATACATCTTTGACAAATCCCATTTGTGATAAGTCATATGATAGTGGCTGATTATGTTATTGTGCACAAAGGACGGTTTTGATTTATTCAATAAAATATTCTGTCAGTTGATCAGCAATTCTGTTTGTTGAGATCTATTCAGCTGAAACCAGAGAATCACTTCAGTAGGTTATAGTTAATTCTGTCATACAAACCAATTATCTGATTATCAGACACTGTCATAGCGACTAAATTCAAGAAACAAATATATAACAATCCTAAATCTTAATACTTTAGGTTTGTAGAGATTGCTAAATTCACAAATCACTTCAGGTTTATGCTTTAGATAGACAACTACTGAAAATCAAGGAGCATTGGATTTCATCCCAGTACAGAATACCTCATTAATTTTTATTTACGATTGTGTCAGCGACTGAATATAGGACTTCTTGTCGATCATTTTTCCAAGATGTTTATATTGATTGTCACTTTATAAAGTCAAATGTTGTCATGAATACAAAATGGAATAACGTTTGTACTTGTTTATAATAAGTTTCATTAGAATGTATCTTTCTTTTTTTTCACAAGATGAATTTAATCGATTCATTATTTCTTTTTAATGCCAAAGTCAATATTATTAAGCCTTATCTATTCACATGAAACGTCATACTAGTTTCTTTCTAATTACGATTGTAATTGAAAAAGTATGTAACATTAAGACTCTCTCTATGAATTTACTTGGTAAATGTTGGCGGTTTCTAAGAAAAAAAATATATACATATATACGTATGTCTAGTTTATTGTGCTGATAAAGAAATAACTTAAACAGTGATACATTTATCTATTAACTGACAATGTAATGTTGATAGTCAAAAGAATGTCTATATAAGTCGCGAAAAATATTTATTGAACATTAAAAAATAATCTGACGACTGTTACGTAATTTAAGCAAAAATGGATAGTGGCTAGCAGTGAAATCCAAGACGCACGTTTCGCCCGATTTGCGACTCGTCAGCTGCTAGCAACTATCCATCTTTGCTTAAAAGGCTTGTGACATAAGGTTATATCGAGACATCCGCACAAGATGCACGTATGCCAACATGAGACTGATCAACTGCAGTCCTAAATAACAATGAGAAGATATAAATAAAACAACACCAAGTGAATTTTTACTGTTGCGTAATGTTTTGTATAATGTTCCTTTGGAATAAATATTTAATTATTTCTAAATTTCATTGAGTAAAGTGGTTGTAATGAATGTTTAACATTTTACTTATTTTTATAATCGTCGATTTAATCCTCATATAAACAATCAAGATTCGTTCCTAATGGTTTGTCTTTGCCAGTTGTTTATTTTAAGGAATGTCCCTGTTGATATAGGGGTGTGAACAGCTATGGATTACAATTATTACAGCAACCCTAATCATACAATCAAACTAGCAATTTATTGGTACTTGCAAGAATACTATGTGGGGTGACATCTCACTCGAATTAAAGGTGTTAAAAGTGTTAAATCCTCAAATATCAGATTTAGTAATTGTTGAAGTGAACTTTGTTCATTGGCTTTAAATGTATTTTCATTAATATCGAAGTGATTTTATCTTGTTTTTAGCTTACATTTATTTTGTAATTAATACAGTGCGATTTTATGTTCAAGTAACGATTGATTAGTTCAATACATCTCATAATTATTAATCCTTGAAATTAAACGTTGAGCAATTCTTCTGGGATCTTATCCGATACATCTTCATTTAGAACTTCTCTCCCCTATAAACCTTTAGGGAGGAAGTAACTGTTGAAATGTTGTGTATTAATTATCTGATCTATTCGATAAACACACCTCGTTAGTAATAAAAGAATCTCTCAAACATTCGTGGAACAAAACTATAAAGACTTAACTCAATTTACAACATAAGATGGTACAATCTAGTACGGGATTCTCAAAGTCTTATAATTACAACAGATTTTACGATGATAATGAACTAAGGTTTGTCATTGGTGGAGAAGATTTGTAGCTCAGGTGGACGATTTTGATGGAGTTTTGTTCTCTGAGCTGGATGATTTGAACGACAAAAGCTCCACGTCTAAACCATCACTGCATAAATTTACAAAAAAAAGAATAGAAACATATTCATTTATGTAATAGGTACAATTAATTATATTTCCCAAAGAATCAAAATCTAATTAATTTTTTTTCTTCACTTCATTTTACTTTATTTATTGTAGTATTTACTGGAAATAATCTTGAAAATGATGTAAGTGGTGATACATCTGGAGATTTCAAACATTTATGTATTGCATTATTACAAGCAAACAGAGATGAATCTACACATGTTGATCAACAACTTGCACGTAAAGATGCTGAAGCCCTGTATCAAGCAGGTGAGAAAAAATGGGGAACTGATGAATCAAAGTGAGTGCAAATTATTTAATAGAATTTACTTAATACAGTTCAGTTTTATATAATGAGATCAATTAAAACTATAAGTAATTTTAATTGTTTAGGTGAGTTTATGTAGTCATATTGTAACAGAAGAACGTTATCATCAGCTATATAAGTTTAAATCATGACTTCATTAAGCTGTTGAATTTAAACATAGCGTATATTAGGGAATATGTTGATTACTACTATATGTAACATGTCTAAGCTTTAAATTCATGTTGTATTGTTTGTTTGAATCTTCTGATTGATATTTAGGACTGCAAGTGATCAGTCCAAAATAGGACGAAATGCGCTCCTCTGGCTGCATATAGATAAATTTTATCCATAGTTCTATCGATACTAAAAGTTATCTTTAATATTTATTTATTCATCTTTTAAAATTTTAAGTCACTGAACAACTTCTGTATTAGGTACATGTCTGTTTACTCGCCTCTGTTCCGCACTCTAGTTGCTTGAGGCGTATTCGGCTGGATAAAGTAAATCAAGTGGAACAAATCTGAAGTCTACAACTTATTGGCTCAAGTCAATTCGTTTTATAAGCCTTTTTTTAAATAGCAAGTCAAAAAAATTATAACTTATTGGTTGAAACAATCGATTTTCAAACATTTGTTTAAAGAGTTGCATCCTATTCTAGCTAACAATTTATGGATCCGAATGATATCACTACTTTTTGAACAGAAATTAAGCCTGAAAACCAAATGCGTATAACCTTTAGATTGAAAGGTATAGAAAGACCTTTCTTTACCATATATTTGAATTGTCAGGGATCAGTTGTAGACGCAATTTTATAAACAATGTCAGTTCTTGTGGACATATGAGTACTGAAGTGTATTTTAAGTACTTGATGTGGTTCTTGTCTCAGTAATTTAGAAGGTAAGCAACTGCTACAATACCGAAGGTCTTGTGTTGGAATCCTGAGAATGAAGTGACTGTTCAAGTCCTACTGGTTTTTAGTGGTTGTCTAAGATTACTTCCTGATGTATTTAGGTTTAAATTGTGTTAAGTTTTCTATTTATCTACAGTCTTCACGTGATATTTGTTATGAATTAAAGCGACTTTATTTACTTTTTTATCATTTTGTAAATAATAGATTTATTCAAGTTTTCGCTACGCGATCTCCTGAACATTTAAAAGCCGTATGTAAAGAATACAGTAATGTTAGTAAGAAAACTTTGGAAGAAGCTTTGAAATCTGAAATGTCAGGAAGTTTACTACAGTGTTTTTTGACCATTGGTATGTCACTGTTTTATTCATTTTGTTAATCATATAATTAGAATAACAATAATAATCAGTTCAACATGTCGTTTTTAGCCCACAATTTACAGTTAGTTACTACTAAGATATTTCAGATTCACTTTTACAAATTGCATCTGTCAAAGATATATTATGTAGTTTGCATCACAAACTTAACTTAGTTAAACAACCATTGAAATCCAGGTAGCATTGTATTTTGTCTATTTCTTGATCATGGGTCCGTACTGTGAGAAATGTGCAACACTACAACGTAACAGTTGTCTAATGCTTCCTGGTTTTGAATGGTTATCTAATTGAGATCATTTCATAATTTAAACTATAAAAATTAACAAACATTAAGTAAGGAGATGTCATAGAAGTGAACATTTAAACTTGTTTCTCGTCTAGTACTTCTATTTATGTAGTTTTACCGATGAGTAAAACTTTATTTCGAATAACAGATATAATTATCTGGTCAGAATGACAATGTCAGTTGCTTAGCTGTGGTACTTTATCATCAACAAAATTAACACTTATTTACCTGAAATATCTCTTATTTTGGAGTGTGTAACAGATAATATAATGATATACCTGGCACGTTTTATCTCAGTTAATCATAGATAATAACGGTTATCGCTTAAACCATCAAACCATTCATTGTCTACTAATCTATTTCTTATTTGGAAATGTGTTGTTATAGGAATCTGTTAAATATTTGATTAGAAAGAAATATTGTAACTCAATACTTGAGGACTCTTTGATTAGGGCCTCAACTAAAATGTTAATGCTGAAATTCGACAAATGAGATCAAATATACTTTCTGATTACTCTACCGATTATTAAGATGTGCGTAAGGAAGATTGGAGATTGGAGCATTCGATTTTACTCATTTTTAGTGCGAAAGTTTACAAGCGTTTATTGGAAGATCACTTATTATATATGGGTCTGGATCGCGTTTTCAGTGGTGGTTCACCCTAGATTTACTCGCGAATTCAACTGTTAAAATGCTACGATCTCCACAAATCTCTATACTGATATTAATCATATGTTCACTAGTGTCTAGCTTCAAAATGGATTTCCTGGGGTTCTAGTGAGAAACTGTGACCAGTATAGTTCAATCCGTATTAGGTGGAGACAGCTATTCACTTCAAACAATGAATGAAGGGTTGTGCAAGATCATAAATCTATCAAAGTTAGACACAAGCGCCGTTGGATTTCGGCTCTGTGGTTTGAATATTGGACGTTCGCGTGCGAGGCTAAAAGTCCTGGGTTTCGGACCTGCATATGGGATCGTAGATGCGCACTGTTAAAGTGTCCCATACTAGGACAAAACGGACATCCAGTAAATCCAAGCTTCTATTCATAATTTGGTTTAGACTAACTCGTAAACTCAACTGTTAAATCCAGATTTGTAAACCGATAGTTATTTTACCAGATAACCAAATTCAGAGGATAAAATATAGACTAAATGAACAATATGGTGGGGCATGATCTTAATTGATTGAAGAATGAGTAACATATAAAATTGATTTCCTCTAATTGTTTATGACATTTGGTCAAAAACGTGGTCAATAAATTAGTCACATTTTTGTGACCATAACAGTTTAATTTTATGATATTGTAAATTATGTTCATACATTTCATTATTGATTGATTCATTCCTGGTGCTACCAGATTTAATTAATTCAATACATGTAAATAAATTATATTGAAATCCATATGTTTAGATATCATTTTGGTTTAGTTTTTGTGCCAAATAAATCTTTATCTATCAATTTCACCCTTCTCTTCGAGTTATACAAATCATAGTTTACTATTAGCAAATACCAAGTTTCATGGTTTATATCAATGTGAGCACCATAGAAACTAACTAAAACATATTATGAAAATAATTTCGTTGTTGTCTTTTTTATTTTCAAATTATTTCACGTAATGTCAATAGAACTTTGTTCTAATAATGACTTATCATAAGAATTTACTAATATTTAATCACAGTAATAACCAAGACTACACTTTGTCTAATCTGAAGTTGATTAATGAACTTTGGAATGTGATCTTAGGATCCAGCTTAACTCTCTCTTTCTCTCTCTCTCTCTCTCTCTCTCTATATATATATATATATATATATATATATATATATATATATATATATATATATATAGTGTTTGGCAAGTGTTTGCCAATTTTAGTGGCTAATGACAACACGTAAATTCCATCAGTACAGGGTTGTGAAGATTGTTATGTTTTGATTGAGATTATGAATTGATCAATTTTTCTAGGTTTTCAATCATGATCTAACATTGATCAATTCATAATCTATATAGTAAATTATTCAGTCTGAGTAACATATTGCAAACTCCTAAAGTTTTCTTGTATAAAAAGGTTTAAATTCTGACCAGTGATTTCGAGAGAAAAATGATCAGAACGTAAAACTTCTTTAAAATAATTTCAAATTCTGATATACCAAAATGCTTTACAGTTTTAAAATGTTATTAGTTAATTGAAGTTCTTACTGATGTTAATCGATCTTGATATTCACATTTGAACTGAACAAATCATCCTTATAGGATTCACTAGTTCATTAGTAGTTAGTTACAAGATGAATTTCTCGAAGTTTTAGTAAGAAACCTTGTCTTTTGAAGTCAATCGAATTGAAATTGAAATATATATACCAGTTAACATTAAATAGTATTCACCTTGTATTATAAATCGACTAATCTTATAAACATGAACTATAATATCATACTTCAATGATCCAAAAGTATCATTTTTGTTATGAAATTCAAAGATCCTTTGTTTAATCACATGTGGAGTCCTATTTGTAAACCACTGGGCAGTTTTGAATTAGAATGGTTCAGTTGTTCGACTCTCCCAGATCCATAATGATTTTAACGTAGATATGACATAATGATAACAAAACTCTTTTATAATTAAACATTTATAAAAATTTATTATTATCAAAAAGTAATTGAAATAATTACCAACATAAAATTTTGAATAGATCAACCATCTACTAAACTTAGTATTAAAGCAAAAAAAGAAGAATGGTTCCAACAAAATGTTTTTTAACCCAAGTTCAAACATGCTTTCTGTGTAGCTTATAAAGAAAAATAAATCAAAAAAATTTTTTAAATCATATGATTGCGAAAATCAATCAATATTGAAGTATTACGTAATAACAGTCAATCGGTAATTTATCCAGTGCTTCCAGGTTTCCCTTGGTGGTCTAGCTTCAACTGACTCATGATCTTAACCATTGAAATTTGTTTTTGTTTACATATAACAAACAACTTGTTTGTTTTTTTCTTTTTTTGTTATCTAATTTGTTATTCAGTTTCAAGTTAACCGTTTTAATATGAGTTATTTATTAATAGAAATAAATCTATGTAAATCACGTAATAATGAATATATATATTTCAGTCTATTTTCATTTTGTGATTTATTAATGTAACACATTTATGAATTTTGTAAAAGCTTATTAGCTATTTAATTATGTTTTATTAAATGATAAAAATCTAATTGTTTGTTAGAGCTTTGAACAATTACACTTTATCAGAAGAGGATGAATGGTGACGCAATTTCATGGATCGGTTGAAGTTAGACATTAACACCGTTGGATCCCGGCCTGTTTAATGATCTGAAGGTTTCTAAGTTCGAGTCCCGTGAGAGGAATCGTGGGTGCGAACTACTTAAAAGTCCCATACTAGGACAAAACAGCCATTCTATGCTTCCAGGTTTTCCGCGGTGATCTAGCTTTAATTGACTCATGAATTACACTTTATATTAGTCCGTTTTTTCCTTGACTATGTTTTATATGTTTTGTGTACCGATGTAAAATTTAATGGTTACACAATATGGTGAATTAACTGAAATTAGAAATCGGAATTTCATTTGAGTGACATTAAGATTTTGTGCAATACTTATAAAAAAATCTAATGAATTTGAGTTCAATCTAATGTACAGGTGTAAATATGCACTGATGAGAAGTTTTAAATTAAAATAGTTTTCTAATTGATGTTAGCGAATGAGAAGAATAATGACTTCATATTGACAAATATCAGATTCTCTCTATTTTGCTGAATATTCATTTTGTTATCAGAAACTGGTTTTGTGAATCTAGAACACCATGGAAAATCTGGAAGCATAGGACGGCCTTTACGTCCTATTCTGCACAGCGTGCATCAACGATCCTGTCCCACGAGATTCGAACCCAGGACCTATCGGTCTCACACACGAATGCTTAGCCTCTAAACCATTGAGCTAGCCGGCATCCAACGGTGTTAATGTCTGTCTTCAACTGATCCATGAAATTTAGCCACCGTTCACCATTGTCTTCAGTGAGTTACCGTCTTACAACAGGCCTAGTTGGACTCCACTGGTTACTGCTTCTCACTAGAGCTCCAGAAAATACCTAATGAAGCCAGTCCCGTGATTTAAGGTTTTCCATCGTGGCCTAGCTTCAATCGACTCGTGAACTCAACTATTATATTCATTTTGTATCAAATTTAACAATAAGTATTTTTTTAACATTTCAGTTCAGTGTGCAAACAACAAAGCATTATATTTTGCTGAGAAATTAAAAAAATCTATGAAAGGCGCTGGAACTAATGACAGAGATTTAATTCGTATTGTTGTGTCACGTTGTGAAATTGATTTGCATTTGATTAAGAGAGAATTTTACGATCTAGCTGGTAATTCCTTAGAATCTTGGATTGAAGTAAGTAAAAAATATCTGACTCCATATATATATATATATATATATATATATATATATATATATATAATTGTACTTCTAACACAGTCAAGGACATATTGAGGGAAACCTTGACTAAGTGCTCTATCGAATTATTCTAATTGTGTGCCGCGTTTATAATTTCCAACCTACCACCTGACTGTTGGATAAGATGCGAATACAGACATTTAATATGACTAAATGCTGGTCCAGCCTATCAGTATTCTACATAATACGTTATACACTTTAATTATGTTCAGTGTATGGTCTGGAATAAATTTGTTACACTTTACATTAACACCACTAGGAGAGAAAACTAACAGACTGAAAATCAAAGATGTGGAAATCTTAGTATCAGTGATAAAGAACTATTGAACACTGAAATATGAGTCAAAGCAATAAACGAAATTGGGTAATAAATTGGCTCATATATAGTTAAAGTTAGATTTGGTATAAATTACTTCTAAAGAATATATTCTAGAAGACATCGGCATATAATAAAATAACAGAGTGTACTATTTTCAAAGTCAATAGGATATAAATGGTGTGACAGTGATTTCTATCCGGTTTCAAATCTACCACAGTTTGTTATATTCTCTCATTTATTTGAAATATTGATTTTGTCATTTCTGGCATATTTTGCATGTGATTAATAGTGAAATTCAACAATCACATTTCCCCTTATTCAGGACAAATCAGTCACACATACTTGTATTTCAGTTGTGGTGTTCATAATGATATTCTAACCTACGAACCTTTCACTTTTAACCCCAAAAGATTATCCTTTAAGTTATTTAGACTAGATGATCATTAACTTGTTCAATGAATATAAAGTTATTAATAAGGTTCTATTACTTCTTGTTGTTGATGTAAAAGATTGATCAACTGATCAACTTCTATTTCCCCTTATAAAATGAATAATATTATTAATCTAATCCTCTTTTTTATTATTTATTTTTTTTTTTATTAAACTATAGGGTGATACCAGCGGAGATTATCGTCAATTATTATTAGCACTTGTTCGTACAAATCTATAAATAACAAATATTGATCAGAATGAAAGTATTTTAATGTTCACATTATTTCATAATATACAAGACGATTTTGAGTTATGAAATGTTCTTAAGTTCTATTTAATCAATTTGTTCCTTTTTTTTATATTTTATTTTCAATATTGAATATTTTAATTTGTAAAAACTTTTAATTACTATGCATGTCTAATTTTCTGAAGGGGGGTTCTTTTTCGCTTACGTCACCTTTTTTTTCTGCCTCTCTTGTTACTATTTATTGTTATTATCTTTATTATTATCACTATCACACGATAAACTTCATATGAACTTCACTTCCTCGGACATTTTGATAAAAAATTCCATAGAACATATACAATTAACACGTACACGTAAATAATGAATAATTTTTTTGTCCGTCTATTTCACTCTTATTTCATTGATCTTCATTTGTTATTGTTGTGTTTGTTCATTTATGAAAATTGATCAATAAATCACTGCCATTCAACTTATACATATATCCATATATGATTATTTTTATTAATGGACCAATTAAAAATTGATTGTGTTACTGACCTTGAGAAATAGTTTCCATTTGGAAACTAGCACAAATTCAAAATTAGTGATCATAATAAAATGGTGAATTAGATGGAGTTAGACATTAACACCGTTGGATGTCGATCAAATCAGTGGTTTATTGGTTAAGTACTCGCACACGAGACTGATAGGTTTTGAATTCAAATCCCGCGAGGCGGAATCATGGATGTGCACTGCTGAGGAGTCCTACAATACGACGAAACTGTCGTCCAATGATTCCAGGCTTTCCATGGTGATCTAGCTTCAATTGACTCATGATTTTAACTATAGACATAAGATGATCACTTAATTTTTCACAAGAGTAATTCATGTAGACCAGTTTATATATATAATATAAATTTGATGGGTGACCGAGAGTTGTGATAAAATCTACCATGAAAAGAAAATACTACATATTAAACTAGATTAAATATGCATGAGTGCTCTTAAATAAATAATGAATCGTACTGTGTAGTTTATCAACAAATCATTTTTAATATTGACTAGATATGTCTAACTCATTTCTATGGGCATACGACTTAATTATTGATCGTATTATGGAATTAAAAGATGTGATTCCATTAGCCTTCAAAGTTTAACACATTTGATATAACTAATTACTTATATTGTAATACAATATAATAGTTGGGTTCATGAGTCGATTAAAGCTAGACAACCTTAGAAAATCTGGAAGCACCGGACGGTCGTTTCGTCTTGGTTTTGGGTTCCTCAGCAATGTGCATCCACAACCCTGCTCGTGGGATCCGAACTCAGTGCCTATCCGTCTCGCGCGCGGACGCCCAGCCCCTAGACCACTGAGCTGACCAGCATCCAAAGTTACTAGTGCTTTTAACTTCAACCAATCAACGAAATTGCGCCACAGTTCACCATTGTCTTCAGTGAGTCACTGGCTCAGGACAGATGAAACGGCCGTGTAGTGTTTCCATGTTTTCCATGATTGTCTAGCTTCATGAATTCAAATATTACTACAATTACTATAATCTCCAAAAAACCTCCTTACTGTATTAAAATATGTTTAAGAGTAACTTAAGTTTACTAGCTTTTCAATCAGCTTGATTGATTTCATTATCTAATCTTATCGAAATTGCGCAGCATTCAATAATATTGAGTGCATGTTAGTCTCATATCATAAGAGAGCATTTGAGATTTTATTAACAAACGAACATAGTTTTTCTCATATCAGTCAATTATGTATGTTAATCAATAAATTTGTTAAGTACCATGTCATAGTTTAACAATAAAATAAATGAAATGTATTAATACATTATTCACATTCGAAACATTAAACAATAATGGTGTACAATCTTTACCTCTTCAGAACTACATTAAGATACATTATTAATAAATACAAAACTGAGGAGTCTCATGACCGTCCAGTGCTTCTAGGTTTACCATGATGGTTTAGCTTCATGATCTAGACTCATGATCTCAACCATTGAAAATAAAAAAACTATTTTTCAATGTGTTTTTGAAGTTTACTGTATTGAGTTTATGAACATTTCTACGTTAATTAAACAATTTATGAAACAATTCAAAAATTGTAAGTCTAATTCATAATAGATCTCATCATATAAGATCCATGTTTAAACTGCAGCGTATGTGAACTCTAATTTAGATCTTTCAATTAAATCTATTCGTATCAAAAAGCGTGGGATTGGCTCATGGAATTGGTTGAAATAGGCTTTGGATCAGGATACATAATGAAAAAAGAACACTTTGAATTTTGACCGTTATCACATGAATCAACAGGCTAGGTTTGTTTAATAAGAAGTTATTATTGATGAATTTCCAGGGAAAATAATGTTCAAGGTTAAACTAACAAATCATATGGATTTGTCCTTAATAATAAAACATGTTCACTTTTCCTTATTCATTTATTAGGTCACTTTTATATATTCCAATTAGTTCAGAATAAATATACTATTATTCTAGAATTTTTCCAAAACAAGGTTAACTACTTAAGAGTAGTATACAAGTGTTCAAGTATAAAAAATATACAACACAGATAACATAGGCTTGAATGATATATCTATTAATTATCAACGAAACCTGAATATTTTAGTAACAATTTAATGTTGTGATGTACCTTATGATTTAAACATTAATTGATTTTGTTCACTCCCTTAAATTTAAATTGTTTGCTGAAGAGGTCAGAATTAGGAAGAAATAGTTATTCAGTACTATCTAATAGTCAGTAATTTACTGCTGATTGACACCAATTTGTGTATTTGTTTTTCACTATGGTGATAATTCTATTATTTTTTGCCTAAATTTACCCTACCCAACGAGTGGATATCGTTTATTTATCGATGAAAAATACATTATATCGGTATCGAGTGAAACAAGTTATCTAGTTATGCTTTAAGTGATTTAGAATTTAACTGTTTATTTTTTGATTGAGATCATGAACCGATTGGCATTAGACCACCATAAAAAACCTGGAAGCACCGGACAGTCGGTTAGCTCTCTTGTGGGACTCTTCAGCAGTACGCACCCACGATCCCGCTTGCGGGATTCAAACCCAGGGCTTTCGGTCCCGCGCGTGAATACTTACTTTCTAGATGACTGAGTCGGCATCTAACTGTGTTAATGTTTAACCTTAACCAATCCACGAAACTGCGCAACCACCTCCCAATATACTGAGGTAAATACTTTTCTCTACCCGACATATAAACTCTTTATCCGGGATATGAAATCCTGAATATAATATGAGGTGAAGAAAATCAATTTTAAAAATTTTTATATTGATTTAATGTGATTTTTATGTGGTCAACTTTAAAAATATATTCGTTATGATCAGAATGGAGTTTTTAGAGATTGTAGTAATTTTAATAGTTGAACTCACTAGTTAATGTAAGGTAGACCACCATTGAAAACCTGAAAGCACTGGACGGCCGTTACATCCTAGTATGTGACTACTCAGCAGTGTGCTTCCATGATCAAAACCAGAACTTTCTGGTCTCACGTGCAGAACCCTAGCCTGTACACCACTGAGCCTGCACCCAATGGTTTTAGTGTCTAACTTTCATCGATCCATGAATGGCTACGCAACCATTCATCCGTTGTCTAAGGTAGATATCTGTCTCTACCCGACAGGTCCTATACTAGGACGAAATGGTTGTCCAGTGCTTCCAGGCTTTACAGCGTGGTTTACCTCACGTGGCCTTATGAATTCACCTATTAAAATTACTATCTATTCGTTATACTAATTTACTCAAAGTAAATTCTGTCTATTGATTTGAATTGGTTATTCAGTATGTAGTTAATTATTTTACCAATAATATATTGATTTTTCGTACTTTATTTTAATTTATTATAATAAAAGTCAATTATTAATGATCATTGAATGATTGACATAAAATGGAATAGGGTTAAATGTAAATTAACCTTCTTAGAATCTCTTTCAAGGAAGCTCCTATACAAACTTGAACTTCTCCCTTTAGTTAGTAGATAGTGATCATGACTTAAACTCAGTATCTATCATTGTAAACGTCAGCACATTATTCACTAAGGTACTAAATATAGAAATTCACTATATTTCAAGTTTCGGTATGAATATCAGCTCATTGAGTTAATAGATACATCTAAACAATGAATAGAAATAGAATGAAATGCGCATCCTGAATTTCATTACAAATCACATCTTAAATATACCATAAGTTCTTCTTAATGCGTTTTTAAAAGAATGTTGTCAAATGTTTTGTTTTGTAAATACGCAATCATTTGTGATGTTGATGAATCAATCATCTAAACTACAAATAATTATGGGTATCAATACCAAGGTTGGACTTGATAGCTTCAAATAAATTGAGCATTAGGTAGAGAGTTAATAATAAATATGACTGTTATATCACAACGTTTCGTGACTTCTTCTTCAGAGTAAAGAAACTAATTCTGTGCTGATTTAGAGATCACATGATGAACAAATAGTTATAATTTCATCCCTTATTATCATCATTATTTTGATAGTCATATTATTTCTCTTTCAACTTCAAGGGCACTTTGCAACTTCATTTTATGTCTAACGTTAATCTGCAAGATCAGAAAGTGGTAATATTACAACGTGTAAATCAAAGTACTACTTAACATGAGGTTGAAAATATGACCAACTATATTTGGAAAAGCTTCAAAAACATATATTATTATATTTCAATTCCTTTCTGAACTCATCAGATAGATGTTTTGGCGAGACCATGATTTGTGGGTGAACCAATCAGATTTAGGATGACAGGTTTTGGATCTTGAAGAGAAATTCATTAACCCATTTGTCTAAATGGTGTTTTGGCATTATATCTGAGGTCAGTTTGTGATAAAAACTCTAAATCTAATTACTAACTTTAACCATCAACTATAAATCATACTCCTTATTCTTCAAACTGCTTTGTAACGCTCATTTAACCTTAGTAAGTAGATGGATATTCTCAAGGTCGCTAAGACTTTGCTCAAAGGTCGTTTATAAATTATAGTCTCAGTGGTTTATCTGTACCTTAATGTTGATGTTCACACATGGAGTCGAACATTAACATTTGGATCTAGGTAAATCCAGTTAATAAGTCTCAGTTAGGAATAAACGCCCGTCTTGGATTCCATTAAAATCCATAGTCCATTCATTGTATTCTGTCAAACATTATTATCGATAAAAATTCAAGGTGATACTTTCGTTATTTCATACACATAGTTCCCTTTATTATTTTAAAGAGAGCAAGAACAAAGGTTGGTGCAGAATAATATGAATTCATTTTATCTCGTTAGGTTCTCATCAGCTCCTTACAACCTAAAATATTTGAAATTCAACGTTATTATAGATATTGACATATATCAGAGGGTGATGAAGGATGAACATGATGTAGCAAAGATGATGCTAGAGATAATGAAGTTATAAAATTTGTTTCGAATATATATAGTTTGGGAGGGAAGGTTTCATAACAT